GTGAGCCATGCATGGCGCATGGCACAACCTTCCTTGACGCAGAGCAGACACCATGTTCTTTCCGTTGTCGGTCAACATGGTTCCGATTTTCAGTTTGCGCGGAGACAGCCATCTGTCGATTTCTCTGTTCATTACACTCAGAAGTTCCTCCCCTGTGTGACTACGTTCGCCAAGGCATACCAGGTGCAGCACAGCGTGACACCGTTGCGCCCTGCACATGTGATATGCCGGTCGGGTAATGGGACTTGGCACGGGGGGGGGTGGGGCTGAGGACACGGCGGAAGAAGAGGTGGTAGAGGCGGACATCTTTGCTGGACCAAGGACGTGCAAACGTGGAGGCAAAAGCGGCGTGACCTGTCCAAGTTGCTGGTGCGGCTGTGCCGGCACCACGTTCACCCAGTGGGCCGTAAATGACATGTACTGTCCCTGACCGTAGTTACAGCTCCACACGTTGGCGCTGCCGTGCACTTTGGCAGAGACCGACATGCTCAAAGACTGGCCCACCATCTCTTCTACATGTGAATGCAGGGCTGGCACTGCCTTTTTGGCGAAGAAATGACGGCTTGGCACTCTCCACCGCGGCGCGGCACAAGCCATCATTTCTCGGAAAGGTGCTGAGTCCACCACTTGGAAAGGGAGGGACTGCAGCACCAGCAACTTGGACAAGGAGGACGTTCAGCTTCTGCACCGTCGGGTGCGTGCTCGCAAACTGTTGTCTCTTGGAAACGGATTCCAAGAAAGACTGCTGACGGAATCCGTGAAGAGGAGTAGCAGGAGAAGGAGCATCTGAACGAGCGGAAGATGCCAACGAGCGACAACTCCCCTCAGCAGAGGTGTTGGAGCCTTGACTGGCTGATAGAGGGCGATTGACGTCGGGTGACGGAGCAAGTAACGGAGCGGGTGATGGAGCGGGGGGCTGGGGCAGGCAGAACCGCCGTATCTTTATCACGGTTTTCCCAGGCCACCGAATGGCGACGCTGCATATGCTGATGCAACGCTGTAGTCCCAACATTGGCCCCCTGGCCACGCTTGACTTTCTGGCCACATAGTCGACATACGGCTACGTTTACTTCCTCGGGCGGCTTGACGAAAAATTGCCACACCGCCGAGTAGGAAACTTTGCCCCCGCTACTCCTCACTGGCTGACTGCTACTTCCTCCGTGCACACCGGCACCACTACTGGCCGTGGTGGTAGGCTGCAGTGGAGCTGGTGCTCTACTCCGTGGCCGTTTGGCTCCACTGACACTGCTGCGACCCTGCTGCCTCCTGGGCAACCCACCGACTGTTTTGCTCGCTGGCAAGCTGGCACCCTCTTCTCCTGATGATGCGGAAGCAATAGCCTGATGACGACGAGGCTGCCAAGTGCGATCAGCCTCATCATCATCAATTAGGGTCTCCGCGTCACTACTAGCCCCCTCGGGCTGCGTGTGGGTCAGGAGACAGACCTGTCTCTAGACCGGCTACCGAGCGAGCCACTCTCCTCGCCAGTACTTCTTCGCCTGGCTGCTGAAGAGGCGGATGTCTCCCCCCGTTCCTGACCGCCCTCTGTTAGCTCTTCCTCACTGTACAGTGGGGCTGAGCCCACAGCATGCGATACTTCGCTTGGTGAGGGAACACCAAAGGACAGGGGCAGGTCGAGGACACGTGATTTCAGTGGGCTTGCTCCCGGGCCATGCCAACTAACGGTTGTGTCTGACGTACCCACCGACCGTTGGCTGTAGGTGTCAGAGGTGACCTGGGAAGAGGAAGACGACCGAGTCAACCAATCGATGACGGCAGGGTTGTCGGTGGAGACACGACCGCTGGATGACACCGGGGAGCACTGGCCTCTGGCTGCGACTAGTGCTGCCTCGACCCTTCCTCTGCTGCCACGTCTGCTCGCTCCTGAAACATTGCCTCCTCTGCCACTCCTCTGCGTGTTGTCTGACATACTTTTTAATTCAATAAGCACCCCAAAAATAAAACCGGATTTAACTCTTTGAACGTACAATAGTGGTTGTGAAGCAGAAAGTCAGTTTATTTAGCACAATCGGTCAATTGCAGCTTGCCGTTGGCTGTAAACTGTACGTTTATGTCACTGGAATGCACTAATCACCCAAAAAAATATTACCGCCACCCGGCGTGTTGTAAATGGATCTAACTCTTTGAACGTACAATAGTGGTTGTGAAGCAGAAAGTCAGTTTATTTAGCACAATCGGTCAATTGCAGCTTGCCGTTGGCTGGAAACTGTACGTTTGTGTCACTGGAATGCACTAATCACCCAAAAAATATTACCGCCAGCCGGCGTGTAAATGGATTTAACTCTTTGAACGTACAATAGTGGTTGTGAAGCAGAAAGTCAGTTTATTTTGCACAATCGGCAAACTGCAGCACCAACTGTGCACGACAGCCACCAAAAAAAAAAAGGGGTGTATGTCACTTTAAATTTTCGATTCTTTGATAGCTGTGGCCCTAAGTAACGATTCTGTGTCCCTGAGTAACGATTCTGTGTCCCTGAGTAACGATTCTGTGTCCATGAGTAACAATTCTGTGTCCCTGAGTAACGATTCTGTGTCCCTGAGTAACGATTCTGTGTCCCTGAGTAACGATTCTGTGTCCCTGAGTAACGATTCTGTGGCCCTAAAGTGTCTGTGGCCCTAACTCTGTCCCTAATACACACAGGTCTGTCTCTCTTGAATGACCGGAGGCTAATGGAGAATTGTAAGATGGCCGCGATTTATAGCTCCACCATTACACAGTGCTGGCTGGCTGGCTGCTGATTGGCTAATGCGATCACGTCATGAATGAATGCATTATGGGTCAGCGCCTTGTCTGCGCGCCTTCCCAGAGATCCCCGCTCTGTCGCCACACATGTCGCCGCCATTTTTGGGAAAATTCGATTCGTGCATCCGAAGTTTGCTAATCTTCGGATTCGTCGCGAATCGAATTTTTCCAAATCTTCGAAAGGAAATCCACTTCGTCATGTTCGATTCGCTCATCTCTAATTATTGTTTTAGCGCTGCACTAAATTATTATTTGTAGTTTGTCACTGTTAAGGTATCAGTTTTGAGTGTCAGCTGCTTTAGTTTTTAGGTACCACTCCATATAAGCGCAGGAGGAATCTCTCTATATATCTTTTACTTGTTTTATAAGATGTGTTTCCTGCAAAAAATCTCTTTTATATCTCTTTTACATGTTTAAAAGATGTGTTTCCTGCAACAAAACTATATCCGCATGAAGGCGTTTTAAAAGTCGCAAGATTTTTATTCTCTTGTTAGGAGATATCAACCCCTTGACATTCCATGAAATTATTTGCATACTATTAGGGAATAGTAAAAAGCTTTTTCAATAGAGGACTTCCACCTACCATTAGTAATATAATGCATATATAATATTGAACAACATATATCCCCAAAAGTTTTGAAATTTACAAATAGCAATTATATCAATGAGTTGATCATAAATACTATCAAAAAATAGATTGCATCCACTGACATATAATAGAAAAGAAAGAAGAAAAAATGTTAGTGTAAACTGAGAAAGAAAACCAGAACCTTTAAGGCACTTCACTTTTTTTTGCATGGAAAAAAAAAAAAGCTCCATATAGATCTAAACTCTCCAGAACTGCCACTTAATCAAAATATCATAATTAGAGATGAGCGAATTATTCAAAAAAATTCGATTCGACTGATTTCATGGAAAAAATTTGATTCGAGTCGAATATATTCGCTGCGAATTTAACTTATAAAAGGGTGTTTCTAGGCTTCAGAGAGCCTTTATATTAGTGCAGAACACTGTACCTTTAATTTAAATGCCCTTGGAGTCTGCTGGGGAAGAGAAATAATACTGTCAGTCAGTATGACATGCAGATGAGTGCCGTCGATCTTAGAATCACGCACACTTCACTCATTTGGGCAGTCACGGGGCCAAAACCAGTGTGGAGTGTGGAGCCACAGTGTGGCGGTGGAGGCAGCAGCAATGGGAGGCCATACAGCACCCTATGACAAAATGGAACCCACCAGCAGTGTGAGGAGACCTGAAAGTGGCACATGGCAGAGTGTGGCGATGGAGACAGCAGCAATGGGAGGCCGTACAGGGGCCCATGACACACTCTGGACCTGGCAGCAGCATGAGGAGGCGGTACAGGGGCCCATGACAGAATACGGGCCTGGCAGCAGCATGAGGACTCGGTACGGCGGCCCATGGCATATTACGGGCCTGGCAGCAGCAAAGGGAGGCCGTACAGGGACCCATGACACACTCTGGACCTGGCAGCAGCATGAGGAGGCGGTACAGGGGCCCATGACAGATTACGGGCCTGGCAGCAGCATGAGGAGTCGGTACGGGGGCCCATGACACACTCTGGACCTGGCAGCAGCATGAGGAGGTGGTACAGGGGCCCATGACACACTCTGGACCTGGCAGCAGCATGAGGAGGCGGTACAGGGGCCCATGACAGATTACGGGCCTGGCAGCAGCATGAGGAGTCGGTAAGGGGGCCCATGACACACTCTGGACCTGGCAGCAGCATGAGGAGGCGGTACAGGGGCCCATGACAGATTACGGGCCTGGCAGCAGCATGAGGAGTCGGTACGGGGGCCCATGGCATATTACGGGCCTGGCAGCAGCATGAGGAGTCGGTACGGGGGCCCATGGCATATTACGGGCCTGGCAGCAGCAATGGGAGGCCGTACAGGGACCCATGACACACTCTGGACCTGGCAGCAGCATGAGGAGGCGGTACAGGGGCCCATGACAGATTATGGGCCTGGCAGCAGCATGAGGAGTCGGTACGGGGGCCCATGACACACTCTGGACCTGGCAGCAGCATGAGGAGGCGGTACAGGGGCCCATGACACACTCTGGACCTGGCAGCAGCATGAGGAGGCGGTACAGGGGCCCATGACAGATTACGGGCCTGGCAGCAGCATGAGGAGTCGGTACGGGAGCCCATGACACACTCTGGACCTGGCAGCAGCATGAGGAGGCGGTACAGGGGCCCATGACAGATTACGGGCCTGGCAGCAGCATGAGGAGTCGGTACAGGGGCCCATGGCAGATTACGGGCCTGGCAGCAGCAATGGGAGGCCGTACAGGGACCCATGACACACTCTGGACCTGGCAGCAGCATGAGGAGGCGGTACAGGGGCCCATGACAGATTACGGGCCTGGCAGCAGCATGAGGAGTCGGTACGGGGGCCCATGGCAGATTACGGGCCTGGCAGCAGCAATGGGAGGCCCGTACAGGAACCCATGACACACTCTGGACCTGGGCAGCATGCATGAGGAGCGGTGGTACAGGGGCCCATGACAGATTACGGGCCTGGCAGCAGCATGAGGAGGTCGGTACGGGGGCCCATGACACACTCTGGACCTGGCAGCAGCATGAGGAGGCGAGGGTACAGGGGCCCATGACAGATTACTGGGCCTGGCAGCAGCATGAGGAGTCGGTACGGGGGCCCATGACACACTTGGACCTGGCAGCAGCATGAGGAGGCGGTACAGGGGCCCATGACAGATTACGGGCCTGGCAGCAGCAATGGGAGGCCGTAATCTGCCAGCACCCTATGACAAAATGGAACCCTGGGCTGGGGCAGGCAGAAACCGCCGTATCTTTATCACGGTTTTCCCAGGCCACCGAATGGCAACGCTGCATATGCTGACGCAACGCTGTGAGTCCCAACATGGGCCCCCTGGCCACGCTTGACTTTCTGGCCACATAGTCGACATAAGGCTACGTTTACTTCCTCGGGCGGCTTGAGGAAAAATTGCCACACCGCCGAGTAGGAAACTTTGCCCCCGCTACTCCTCACTGGCTGACTGCTACTTCCTCCGTGCACACCGGCACCACTACTGGCCGTGGTGGTAGGCTGCAGTGGAGCTGGTGCTCTACTCCGTGGCCGTTTGCCTCCACTGACACTGCTGCGACCCTGCTACCTCCTGGCACAGCAGCAATGGGAGGCCGTACAGGGACCCATGAGCTGGACCTGGCAGCAGCATGAGGAGGCGGTACAGGGGCCCATGACAGATTACGGGCCTGGGCAGCAGCATGAGGAGGCGGTACAGGGGCCCATGGCAGATTAGGGGCCTGGCAGCAGCAATGGGAGGCCCGTAATCTGCCAGCACCCTATGACAAAATGGAACCCAGCAGCAGTGTGAGGAGACCTGAAAGTGGCACATGGCAGAGTGTGGCGATGGAGACAGCAGCAATGGGAGGCGGTACAGGGACCCATGAGACACTGTGGACCTGGCAGCAGCATGAGGAGGCGGTACAGGGGCCCATGGCAGATTAGGGGCCTGGCAGCAGCAATGGGAGGCCCGTAATCTGCCAGCACCCTATGACAAAAATGGACACCCAGCAGCAGTGTGAGGAGACCTGAAAGTGGCACATGGCAGTGTGTGGCGATGGAGACAGCAGCAATGGGAGGCCGTACAGGGACCCATGAGACACTGTGGACCTGGCAGCAGCATGAGGAGGAGGCGGTACAGGGGCCCATGGCAGATTAGGGGCCTGGCAGCAGCAATGGGAGGCCCGTAATCTGCCAGCACCCTATGACAAAATGGAACCCAGCAGCAGTGTGAGGAGACCTGAAAGTGGCACATGGCAGAGTGTGGCGATGGAGACAGCAGCAATGGGAGGCCGTACAGGGACCCATGACACACTGTGGACCTGGCAGCAGCATGAGGAGGCGGTACAGGGGCCCATGGCAGATTAGGGGCCTGGCAGCAGCAATGGGAGGCCCGTAATCTGCCAGCACCCTATGACAAAATGGAAACCCAGCAGCAGTGTGAGGAGACCTGAAAGTGGCACATGGCAGAGTGTGGCGATGGAGACAGCAGCAATGGGAGGCCGTACAGGGACCCATGAGACACTGTGGACCTGGCAGCAGCATGAGGAGAGGGTACAGGGGCCCATGGCAGATTAGGGGCCTGGCAGCAGCAATGGGAGGCCCGTAATCTGCCAGCACCCTATGACAAAAATGGAACCCAGCAGCAGTGTGAGGAGACCTGAAAGTGGCACATGGCAGAGTGTGGCGATGGAGACAGCAGCAATGGGAGGCGGTACAGGGACCCATGAGACACTGTGGACCTGGCAGCAGCATGAGGAGGCGGTACAGGGGCCCATGGCAGATTAGGGGCCTGGCAGCAGCAATGGGAGGCCCGTAATCTGCCAGCACCCTATGACAAAATGGAACCCAGCAGCAGTGTGAGGAGACCTGAAAGTGGCACATGGCAGAGTGTGGCGATGGAGACAGCAGCAATGGGAGGCCGTACAGGGACCCATGACACACTGTGGACCTGGCAGCAGCATGAGGAGGCGGTACAGGGGCCCATGGCAGATTAGGGGCCTGGCAGCAGCAATGGGAGGCCCGTAATCTGCCAGCACCTATGACAAAATGGAACCCAGCAGCAGTGTGAGGAGACCTGAAAGTGGCACATGGCAGAGTGTGGCGATGGAGACAGCAGCAATGGGAGGCCGTACAGGGACCCATGAGACACTGTGGACCTGGCAGCAGCATGAGGAGGCGGTACAGGGGCCCATGGCAGATTAGGGGCCTGGCAGCAGCAATGGGAGGCCCGTAATCTGCCAGCACCCTATGACAAAATGGAACCCAGCAGCAGTGTGAGGAGACCTGAAAGTGGCACATGGCAGAGTGTGGCGATGGAGACAGCAGCAATGGGAGGCCGTACAGGGACCCATGAGACACTGTGGACCTGGCAGCAGCAGCATGAGGAGGCGGTACAGGGGCCCATGGCAGATTAGGGGCCTGGCAGCAGCAGCAATGGGGAGGCCCGTAATCTGCCAGCACCTATGACAAAATGGAACCCCAGCAGCAGTGTGAGGAGACCTGAAAGTGGCACATGGCAGAGTGTGTGTGGCGATGGAGACAGCAGCAATGGGAGGCCGTACAGGGACCCATGAGACACTGTGGACCTGGCAGCAGCATGAGGAGGCGGTACAGGGGCCCATGGCAGATTAGGGGCCTGGCAGCAGCAATGGGAGGCCCGTAATCTGCCAGCACCCTATGACAAAATGGAACCCAGCAGCAGTGTGAGGAGACCTGAAAGTGGCACATGGCAGAGTGTGGCGATGGAGACAGCAGCAATGGGAGGCCGTACAGGGACCCATGAGACACTGTGGACCTGGCAGCAGCATGAGGAGGCGGTACAGGGGCCCATGGCAGATTAGGGGCCTGGCAGCAGCAATGGGAGGCCCGTAATCTGCCAGCACCCTATGACAAAATGGAACCCAGCAGCAGTGTGAGGAGACCTGAAAGTGGCACATGGCAGAGTGTGGCGATGGAGACAGCAGCAATGGGAGGCCGTACAGGGACCCATGACACACTGTGGACCTGGCATGAGCAGCATGAGAGGAGGCGGTACAGGGGCCCATGGCAGATTAGGGGCCTGGCAGCAGCAATGGGAGGCCCGTAATCTGCCAGCACCCTATGACAAAATGGAACCCAGCAGCAGTGTGAGGAGGAGACCTGAAAGTGGCACATGGCAGAGTGTGGCGATGGAGACAGCAGCAATGGGAGGCCGTACAGGGACCCATGAGACACTGTGGACCTGGCAGCAGCATGAGGAGGCGGTACAGGGGCCCATGGCAGATTAGGGGCCTGGCAGCAGCAATGGGAGGCCCGTAATCTGCCAGCACCCTATGACAAAATGGAACCCAGCAGCAGTGTGAGGAGACCTGAAAGTGGCACATGGCAGAGTGTGGCGATGGAGACAGCAGCAATGGGAGGCCGTACAGGGACCCATGAGACACTGTGGACCTGGCAGCAGCATGAGGAGGCGGTACAGGGGCCCATGGCAGATTAGGGGCCTGGCAGCAGCAATGGGAGGGCCCGTAATCTGCCAGCACCCTATGACAAAATGGAACCCAGCAGCAGTGTGAGGAGACCTGAAAGTGGCACATGGCAGAGTGTGGCGATGGAGACAGCAGCAATGGGAGGCCGTACAGGGACCCATGAGACACTGTGGACCTGGCAGCAGCATGAGGAGGCGGTACAGGGGCCCATGGCAGATTAGGGGCCTGGCAGCAGCAATGGGAGGCCCGTAATCTGCCAGCACTCTATGACAAAATGGAACCCAGCAGCAGTGTGAGGAGACCTGAAAGTGGCACATGGCAGAGTGTGGCGATGGAGACAGCAGCAATGGGAGGCCGTACAGGGACCCATGAGACACTGTGGACCTGGCAGCAGCAGCATGAGGAGGCGGTACAGGGGCCCATGGCAGATTAGGGGCCTGGCAGCAGCAATGGGAGGCCCGTAATCTGCCAGCACCCTATGACAAAATGGAACCCAGCAGCAGTGTGAGGAGACCTGAAAGTGGCACATGGCAGAGTGTGGCGATGGAGACAGCAGCAATGGGGAGGCCGTACAGGGACCCATGAGACACTGTGGACCTGGCAGCAGCATGAGGAGGCGGTACACAGGGGCCCATGGCAGATTAGGGGCCTGGCAGCAGCAATGGGAGGCCCGTAATCTGCCAGCACTCTATGACAAAATGGAACCAGCAGCAGTGTGAGGAGACCTGAAAGTGGCACATGGCAGAGTGTGGCGATGGAGACAGCAGCAATGGGAGGCCGTACAGGGGACCCATGAGACACTGTGGACCTGGCAGCAGCATGAGGAGGCGGGTACAGGGGCCCATGGCAGATTAGGGGCCTGGCAGCAGCAATGGGAGGCCCGTAATCTGCCAGCACTCTATGACAAAATGGAACCCAGCAGCAGTGTGAGGAGACCTGAAAGTGGCACATGGCAGAGTGTGGCGATGGAGACAGCAGCAATGGGAGGCCGTACAGGGACCCATGAGACACTGTGGACCTGGCAGCAGCATGAGGAGGCGGTACAGGGGCCCATGGCAGATTAGGGGCCTGGCAGCAGCAATGGGAGGCCCGTAATCTGCCAGCACCCTATGACAAAATGGAACCCAGCAGCAGTGTGAGGAGACCTGAAAGTGGCACATGGCAGAGTGTGGCGATGGAGACAGCAGCAATGGGAGGCCGTACAGGGACCCATGAGACACTGTGGGACCTGGCAGCAGCATGAGGAGGCGGTACAGGGGCCCATGGCAGATTAGGGGCCTGGCAGCAGCAATGGGAGCCCGTAATCTGCCAGCACCCTATGACAAAATGGAACCCAGCAGCAGTGTGAGGTAGGGGCCCGGAGCCCGCAATGGGAGGCCTTTCGCCCCCCTATGCAAAATGGAACCCCGCAGC